AGATGACTGGAGGCCCCGGGATCTAGCCACCATGCTGGTGCGGGTACGGTTTTTGAGGTCGGTGCGGGCGGAGCGGAGGATCAGGAACCGCAAGGTCCGCAGGCGGTTCGAGACACAGTCTCAGAATAGTCCCTTGACCCACGACTTGCTGGAGCCGGCGGGAAGTCGCATGTCTGTGGACCGACCACAGATCGAACAACCCCCCGGATTCTATGGCAACAGCCCCAGCACCGAAAGTCCCTCCACAGTCAAGCAGTCCGAGTCTGCCGGGTCTTCACCGCAGGCCATCAGCACTGGCTCCTCCGAAATGTATCCCCGGGACAAGTCACCATCCCGGGCATCCTCGACGACCCCTTCAACGAAATCCGCCAAACGCAGGTCGTGGGCATCGGTTCTCTCGAGCATCTCCTCCGGCATCTCCAGCTTGGCGCGGTCCTCCTCGTCGGCGTCTTCCAAACACGTTAATGTCAATCCCTCTGGCGGCAACACGGCCCTCAGCAAGATGACACGCGAAGAGTTTTTGAACATGCTGCAAGAGAAGCCGCGAAAGCCCACGAAACCAACCGGCGCGGCGGCTGTGGGAAACCTGTTCAAGTCGAAATACTCATCCGTCAACCCTACAACCGAAGATCTCAACGCCGCGCTGGTCCGGATGTGCTGTGCCGCCCGTGTTGGTCGCGGCCCCCCTGGGTGCGTGCATGAGCGGTTGTCCAGGGCGATCGACGCCCAAAAGACTGACGGCCATGACTTCACCCACTTTCGTGTTACTGAGGAAGAAGCCAACATGGTGGACAAGTACGGCAACTCGCTCCTGCACGTGGCGGCCCGATGGGGCGCCCGCATCTCCATCCTCCTCATGATCCTCAAGCGCACTGATGACGTACAACTGGTCAACCATCGCGGCGAAACCTTCCTCCACGTCTTTGACCCGCCAGAAAGTCCGCGCATGCGGCCGGTATCGTTCCTCAACCTCATCCGCACCCTGCGGTCGCGGGGCTTCGACTTCTGCCACCGAGACGTTGACAAACACACCTTTTTACACCACCTTGTCGCCAAGAAGGATTTCCCTATCGAAACGCTATATTATGTGTTTAGGGAGGTGGGCTACGGCACCGCCCGGTTCCTCGTCGCCAACAAGTCGGCCAACGGCGAGCGGTTATGGCACAGCGTCCGGCGGAATCTGGAGAAGGCCGCGCCAAAACTACACCGCATTTTCGGCGATGAGGTTGAGTTTATCCGCCGGTACCTCCCCGAGTTCTCTTCTGAGGGAAAGGCCCCCTCGACCGCCGACACATCGACCATCGGTTCCGACAGCCTGATCTCCATCCACCCGACCGAGATCCCTACCGTCGGTCTCGCCATCGACCCGAACGAGAGTAACGCGCAGAATGTCCGCCGCACACCCGTCATGAAGCTCCTCCGCCGCACCGCCGCCGGGAGACCAGTTGTTACAGATGACGAGCTGACTGCTAAGCTCGAGCACGTCTTCGAATCCGCCGCCAAGGCGACCGACTTTGAGATGCAGAGCTACCTCGGTAAGCGCGACACCGAAGGCAACACGGCGCTGCACTATGCGGCCGAGTTTGGGCTTGTACCGGCCGTGCAGTTCCTATGCTCTAAGGGTGCGTCGGTCAACGTGTTTAACAATTGCGGCAACACGCCGCTGCAACTGGTAAAGTACGCCATCCAGCGCACCGACGTGCGCTCCGACATCCACATGGAAGCCCGCTACCTGCGATGCGCCGTCCTGCTGCTCGAACAGGGCGCCTTTGACCAGAGCAAGCTGGTCAGCGAGCGCTCCGTTATCTTTCCCTACGACGTTTTCGACGGTAGCGAGCGGTCTATCAGCAACCTGGTCCGGCAGGGCGTCGCCAGCCAATGCCGCGGCCTGCACCTGCTGACCTCATCCGTGAAGCACCACGGCCCCGGATATGTGGAGGGGTTGGAGAGGACGTTCTGCTCAGATGGACATCTGGGATATCATCACCATGGACATCATGATTACGACCATGAGACAGGGCATGGCGGGAGTTCTAGTGGGATGGGAATGGGGATGGGGCCGGGCACAATGTCCATGACGTTCCAGACGTCAGTGCTCACGTCACAGGTGGCTATCTGAATAGCCACGTCGATGCCATTATGGTTCCTTTTTGGCCTTTTGGGCTTTTGGGCTTTCCCTCCTGGCTTATTATTATATTTTTTTTTTTGACTGGTTTTGCGTGTATGTACAAAATACCATTTTGGGCGAGCGGCGGTGCATGGAGGAGCGTTCTTTTCTGAAGACGATTTTCCTTTTGTTTGGAGTGGCCTTGGTTTGTTTTGGTTCCAAGGCAGGCGTTGCGGATTGCTTGTTGAGGCATGCCATGGCTGCCCATACTTTCACTTTCTTGTAGTTACATTCTGATTGAAAAATATACGCCAGATGTTGCGTGTTTGCCCTGTGTCCCGTCTAAAGCAGGGTGATCTTTGTTCGTATTGCCGTATTCTTCGTCTTTCCAACTAACTATACTTCTCGTCAAATGCCTCCTTTGCTCTTTCACACTTGCCGTTGTTATCTTTTCTGACCACCAAGCGTTGAAAACTGAAGAATCGACGCATGCTGACTCATTTGTTGATCAGAAATTAATAGTCGCTCCGTTTCTCGCCCTTCCCGGCCAATGTCATGTCATTGAGAAGATCAATCAAAGTATTTTGATCCTTAGCCTCTGGGTCTAGATGAACAATAACACGCGCTTTTGCAGTGGGTAGCCTATACATGTTGGCTGTGTTCTGTCTCTTTGGCTTTGTCATCCCTTGGTTAGTGCTTGACAAGGCAGATGGGCGCATATTATTTCCCAACTACCTCGACCGCTTTAAACTTTATATCGACTGCCGGCGTGGTACGCAATCACCTTGTTCGACAGCGGCAGTCTTGGCACACAAAGGGAGAAGGCAATCCCCCGCAGTCGGAGCACAATACTGGCGCCGGAATATAGCGTGCTCGGATCGAGCCGCGGAGCTGTGTTACCCCATTGGGAAAGAGACGACGAGGTTCATGATTACCCAGATTGCTGGCCCAGGGCCCAGTTCAAATCAGCACTCCTTTAGCACCAGACCAGTATTTAGGCGCAGCCCCGAAATCTCATCGCGAACAAACTGCCAAGACATGTGAATGTCGCGGTGCTGGGGTCACTTTGCGGTGTCAAACGGTCAAGCAGGGGGGCAATGGCTGGAACCCCCCCCCCTCTCGTCACAGCACCTTGAAAAAGGGCTTCGCGCCCATCGTATTTGCTGGTCTGGCCGGTGACCCCGACGAAGTTCACTAGGCGCCTCACCTGCAATCTCGCTTTCAGCGATTTCTCTTCGGTTCGACCGTCATCATCGTCAAAACGAAACAAAGTTCACAGTCTGACGCCATGCTTCTCCGCCTCCCTCTCCTGGCCGCCATGGTCAACGGTGCCGCCGTTCTCCCACGGCAGAACGTGAACCAGGTGGTCTCGCTTAGCCAGGTTGAGAACGTGGCGGTCCGGTCCAACGGTCAGATCCTAGCGACCAACATGAACTCGGCGAACCTGTACGCGATCGACCCAGTGGCCAAGACATCAAAGACGGCGCTCGCCATCTCGGGCGCGCGAGGCCTCTCGGGCATCGGCGAGTACGCGCCCGATGTGTTCGCCGTCATCGGCGGCAAGGGCGTGTACTCGGTCGACTTCTCGGCGGAGCCGCCAAGGTCGAGCCTGATCGCCACCCTTAACGAGGCCAACAACCTCAACGGGTTGGCCGTGCTGTCCGAGACGGCCGTCCTCGTGGCTGATGCGGGCCGGGGGCTTGTGTACCGACTCGACGTCACCACGGGTGAGTACGCGGTCGTGTTGCAGGATGCAACCATGGCGCCCTCGGGCGGGATTCCCTTCGGCATCGACGGCATCAAGTACCGCGACGGTGTCGTCTGGTACACAAACATTTTCAAGAACAGCTTCCACCGCGTCGCCGTCGACCCGGAGACGGCTAAGGCGACCGGCGCCTACGAGACCCTCTGGACTAACCTCATGGGCGATGACCTCTGCTTCGGCCCCAACGGCTTCATCTACGTCGCCACCAACGGCGGCAACTCGCTTGTTGAGGTCGACCCCGAGGTCGGCACCCCCAACAGAGTCGGCGCCGTCACCGGGTCGACCTCGTGCGCCTTCGGCCGGACCGAGGCGGACGCCAACGTGGCCTATGTCGGCGCCGGGCAGGGCGTGTATGCTGTGACGGTTGCGGCTTAATGGAAGAAAGGGAGGTGGACTACGGCGAGAGGAAGGGTATATGTCTTTTTCTGCAGCCGACATCCAGCTAGGGCAATCGACAAGCCGTTGTAGGCGACTTGTCGTTAAAATATATGAAAAAAAATCAAAAAAAAAATCGAGAGGTCGCCTCATCTGGCCGACAACGCGCAAGTAATTATCTAGGCTGGGAATCCACGGTATATGACAAGTGATCACGGGCCTTCTGAGTCCAACCCATCAGCACAGCTTTGCCAGTTCCCAGAGTCGATCTCAACTTACAGGCTAGTAGTCTAAGGCGCCAGATTTGAAGCTTGAGTTTGGCACCCTATGCCATGAGAACTCTGAATCTGAGCTCGCTCATAGCGGGTCCTCCGAGTTAGACATCGCGCAAAAGAAGCAGGTCACGGTACAATGGAGCTTGTAACAGAAATTATCCAATCAACAATAACCAAGTGTACGGACTAAATGGGTAAGCGCTGGTTTATATCACCTATGCAATGGATCCTTCCCTTCAAACTAGGTAGCATGCCTCGTCATTGTTTCCTCTTGGTCAGCAGCAAGTATTGGCTGTTTGCAGAACCGTTAACTGGTTATTCTGAGTGCCGCCATTACTACATGTGTAGACCTGGTTCTCGATTCCGACCCGTCTTCGCTGGTGTAGCAGTGGAGTCCCGGTTCACCCAAGGGTGGTGGAGACAAAAAGTCGAGATGCCGAGAGGAGAGGAGCTGGATGCAACCGGCAAAAGTCAAGCTTGATCCCCACCCGATTTGAACGGATAACCTTTTGATTCCACAGTGGTAAGCACTGGAGTCAAACGCGCTACCGTTGCGCCAGAGGACCTTGCTTGCTTGTTGTTGAAGAACTAGGCTGGAATTAATCCATATATTGTTATTGCAACCAACAAGGACCACCAGACGAACCACAAAGGGCCTCCAATGCCCCGAAATCATCTCATGTGATGCACCTGTTCATCCGAGTAATAGAGTACCCACAGGATCAATTGCGGAATAATCTCGAAAAATCAGACAACATCAAGATGGCACTTATGTAGAGTTCATCCATGTACACGTATAAAGGAAGATTGTTTAGATATGGTAACGTACGGGAATGGCTGGCGGGGAAATCTGACATGCGATGCAACTGGAGAGTAGGAATGATGTTTAGATACTTCGGTTTCTGTGTTCGCATTACCGATTTTGAGCCATATTCATGCCTGCAGACACTGGCTGTTTTTCGTTTCTTGAAACTATTCATAAAGGGAAGTTGGCAAGCATTCAACAGTCTAAAAACCATTTGCCATAGTTATCATTCTCAGCAATATCGCCTTGCCCGGTTTTAAACCCGCAACCTCAGGTGTTGATGAGGCACCAAGTAGTTAGAAAGGCATTCTTCCTCATTATCTCAAGTCAATTAGCCGGCGGAGGCACGTCTATTCTGAGCCGGATAAACACCCCTAACCGTTGTTACCTTACTGATTCAAGATTCATTTACCTCCTATGTTCTCCCTTCCCTTCGCGCTTTCTCTTGGCGTGATATCCCTTTTCCCCGGCATGCAACAGTGTCCCCAATGTCCCTCGACGTCAATAGCGAGATTGCAGCATATCGCAATCATCTCGTCCTCGGTGAGCCGTTTCGGCGACTTGAGCAACGGGCCTACTAGAGCGGGCCACCATAGAGCGGGCCACCTTTGGGAAGGGTGATGTCCCCTTAAACTGGGGATGATTGGGTCGCCGTCATCACACCAAGGCCCCCAACGCGGCCTATGTTCAGACCTTCGAGAACCGGCTGCCCGGGTACCCAAATATCCTTTCACATGCTCGGTTCACACAAAAGAGACACAGGATTGGGCCGGGAACGATGAGATAAGATGAATGGCAAGATATCACATTTCCTGAGTGACACGTACGGCAGGAGATGGAACCTTGGTTCGGTGACTTGGTAAGGTAGGTAGGTAGGTAGGCATCCCGGCATCTATGCAGACTCGAGGCGCATCCGACTCTGATGATTAACGTAATACCGCAAGTAGGCTCAACTTGAAAATTGCCTGGTGCGTGGGGCATATCTTACGGGCGGTTTGATTTCTGTTACAGCGGAGCCCTCAATCTGATTTTGTATTCATATATCCATCTAAGTTTTTATTTAGTTATTCGTTTTCAAAATTTTTCTTACATAGCACATGTTTCCAGCTGTGCCACCATCTCCTTGGTGGCGGTCGGCTGTCAAACAGCGTTGCGGCTGAGGCACGAGAGCGCGGTTGTCAATTCGTGATCTCCTAATAAAAGTTGTCTGTGGGGGGCCACCTCACAGGGCTGGCAGTGCCCCCTCCGAAAAGGTTGGGTAGGGAGTTATGGTGGCCGCAGCGATGAGCTAAATCAATGTGCTAAATTAGGTAGGTGTTGTTTTTATGAATCTAGAGAGAAGAAGATGGTGTGACGCCGGCAGGGATAGTCCACCAAAGTGACGATGAATCGAGATTGATGACTTGATTATTGCTATGTTGTTAGACGGAGAAATACTCAGATTTTAGGTACCGTGCTCCACTTCAGCTACTGTACATAGTTACCACTTGGCCATACTCTTTCCTAAGTACGTCGAGTTTCCTATCTTGGTTGAAGCTTTTTTTTCCCCAACAGCCTTTAGAAAAAAGCTGGGGTACTAAGATCCTGCAGGTAGAATGCTGCCGAATGCCAACGCAGCCTTTTGTCGTGGAAGCAATTGAACGCCCGTTTTCGTCACTATGTTCGCTTACTACCTTCCGGAATAACACTCATGTTGTTTGCTGTTGTGGTGTAAGGAAATATGCACCTCTGAGCTGTCCCGGTTTGATATCCTTCGGGAACCACCCCTGCACCTTTTTTTTTTTCCGTTTGCAGACTTGTCACGCTTCGGAGTCGCAGTCTCGGCATTTCTGATCTCTTATCATCTGCAGCTTCAAGTTGTTGGTACCGTACCTGCCCGTGGTATAGTGATCAGCTCGGCGCCAGCGCTTAACTGAGTGCCGCCAGCCCACGCGCGATTGGCCACTGTGGCGGACAAACACGCGACGCGCACAGCACCTACAGTGCACACTGGGCAAGAAGCCCCTACTGCTGCGGAGTGCAAAGCGGCCGTCTTAGCCGGGCTAGCCATATATGCAAGTGTCTCGTAAAAAAATTGACTAGGTAAATTTTGCAAAGTAGCACAGGAGAGCGCGCTTGTTCCAACTTGCATGCGTTCTGCGGCTGATCGCTAGTGCAGCTGGTGTGACCTTGGTCCATGCTGGGGCGTGGCACAGGAAGCTTTGCATCCGTTTCGGCCCCCTGTCAGCAGTGTTGTTCCCTTGGTAGAGAAGGGGGGGGGAGGGGTATTTCTTGAGTGGCTGATTGGTGGTATTGCCAAATTCGGCAATTTCGCGCTTGTTGTCAAGTATCCAACGCTTGGAAGCTACGTTGTTGGTGAATCGTTATTACAGATATCTCGCTTCGGGCTCGACGCGCTTGGTGATAGGGCTGTTTCTCAGGTCCCTTAATCTCACGATGACAAAAAGAGTGTCGAATGGGAGGGCCCGGAGACGTACCGGAAGTCTATCCACACCGGCTCTCGGATCCCGACCCACTTGTCCCCGGGGTGGGGCCGTCATCCCATTCTCAAGTCTGTTCCGGGGCGCCGCCTCAGAACCTTGTTGGTCCCTGGGTAGATGCAAACATGCAACTTCGAGAGCGGCGAAGCCGGCGGGAGGATCAGATGCAACAAGGTTGCGCCATCTGAGGCCTGGTCCGAAGGGGCCATGCTGGGCCGGGAAGGATTCCTGAGCCTCTCTCGGGCATCACTCGATCGGACGACCGTGTCGTTCCCGTCACTTTGTTGGTTCGGGAACAGTGGCTTGGAGATAATGTCGGAAAGTGATGGCGGAGGCGTAAAGACACGAAAATAGATCTTCTTGATTTCACAGGGTCAGAGATATTGCAAGAGTAGCCAATTTTGCGGTATCGTGGCAGACAGCGCGAATCGAACAACTGCGTCGAACAGTGGAGAGTTTTCAAATGATACCAGGGATAATTATTGATGCCAGAAACAAAAAAGGGAAAAAAATACAAGTTATAACTATCTATCCAACCAGAAGAGAATACGAAGCAAAGTACTATGAAACTCAACCCCCCTTGTCCATTGCAGTGATGCCGACCAAATCTAACCAACTGTTTGATTCTCGGTGTAAGCCAATATTGTGTTAGATGACCCTCCTCCAAAAAAGAATGCACCCCAAATTCTGTTCATCCGTGACTGCTTCTCGTTGTGAACCGTGTCCAAAAACCGCGGGGCGAAATATGATACATCGAAGCGAAGACCCGTGTGCTGTGATGAGGAGCCGGTCAGCGGGAAGAAGTTAAGTGGAGGAGGATCAGAGGCCAAGTACCGTAGGGTTGTACGTACAAGTGGTAATGTCTAGATAGAAGGATAGCCGTTCTCAACCAGCTTGCGCTAGTGGTAGTTGATGTACTCGAACAGCTTCTGGCACTCATCGCAGTATTCGTCGCTGTAGACCAGCGTCCTCGGGCGGTCGTATCGCCTGTCGTATTTGCACGGTCCGTAGACGTGACGCCTGTAGATGTCGCAAGAGTAGGCCATCTTTTGTACCTTCCTGCCGTTGTGCTGGCTGCTGTCGCAAGCATAGATGATCTCCTCCCACTGGCACATCTTGTCCGGTTGACTCGGGAGTGGAGGTGGTGTCGAGTGTTGTTTGTTGCTGTGAGCTTGTGAAAGAGTAGTTGCAAAACCTGTAAGGTCGAGGCTGATAATGGTAGCCAGCGAGGTGCTTGCTGTGATGATGATGATGTGGTCTGAGAAGAAGTGTTTCTTTGCCGAGGGTTCGGATGTCCTTTATAGACGAATATTGACATCAATACTAGGAGTCTTGACTCAGGGGCAGGAACAAGAGTGCCTCGACCGGGCCGAAACGGCGAAGACTCAAGCAACTAACCAACGATTCCATGCTATGGGGGGGGGGGGGGTGGGATCAGAGGGCGACATTGAGCTGGGGCAGGTGACTTGTAATGAGCTGCGGAGTGGTTGGCTTTGGGTCTCACATGCAGCAGTGCCCCCATGCCGGTGGCCGATGGAAACCAGACTGTTGGGTTGAAAGACAAAGGCGAGAGGGTGGGTTTCCCGTATCATTGACTCGTCAAGCCATAGTTACTACAGTACTTACGAATTACGCCTCATCTGCACTCCACCAATATCCAAGTGCGATATGGCCCCCTCTCCCGCTTGCCCGCCGCGGCAATGGGGGTTACACCACCCCAGGCCTCTTGCGGCGGGAACAGGGGGGGCGGTGCGCCGTTGGGACCAGGAACAAGAAGGTTAGGAACGTTGAGCGGGATACGCGCAGTAGCCGGAAATTTGCGAGAGGTCTTCCCGTTGCTGGCCTAGTCCTATGTAGTGCGTAGACTGCGCCGCGACCCCGTTGACCGGCCCAGCGACCGCTGGCAGGCGCACCGTGAGGTACCCTACCCTACAGGCGCGATCCGCGTGTGTGTGTGCACCTTTAAGCGCCGAGTGGGGCTCTGCGTGTGCCCTTTGTGGAATTTCTTCTGCCTTTGATTGGCGTCTCTTCTCCCCCTGGGCCTCACCCCTGACCCCTTGCAATAACGTTAGTTGTTGTTCCCGGACGCTGGGAAACAAAGATGCAGAATGGCTACAAACCTTACGAGCGACGCTGCAACAAAGAGTACTTGTGATATCTGGTAAATAGATTTCCGATCAATACTTCAATGGTACCTGATCCGCATGTGAACCATCCATTTTGTGGCTGCTAACCAGAGGACGGGCCCTTCCAATGGATTTCTTCAAACCTTTCGCTGTGA